TAATGACTATTTATATAAATTATACGAATATCAAGTATTTTATGTTAGTATATGTTTTAAATATTACTAAGGCTATTGGAGCATGTTTTTGTCAAGATTTGAATTTAAAATCATGTATTGACTAAGTATACAAGAAGATTTATTATACACTATTACTATATATTCTTCTTTTGCACCAAAAAATAGAGATGTAGCTTTTAATTAAAAAATAATAATTTTTTTGAAGTTAAAGAAATTTCATCTTTTAGAAATAAAATCAACATTAATTTTTAACTTCATCTTAATCAATTGCAATTAAGTATATTTTTACATCTTGTTCATTATAATATTAAAAATAATTCTTCTAAATTTTATGATATTTTTTAGTTTGAGTTTATAAATAATCTATTCTATTTTAAGGGATGCTTATATACTTCAAAAGATGAAGCATGATTACATGCTCTTTAAGCTCAGCATGACTTTTCAACTATAAGTCATTATGCATGCAATAAGATCTTAGAGTTAAAATTAAGAGATTTTTAGTGGCTTCAAATTTGAAAGGTCGTTTAAGACTTTGTACAATCATGTAATGTTTATTTAAGATTAAAGACTCCTTGTCATTGATCTTATGGACTTTTTTAGCCATTATCTATAATAAAAAAAAGCATAGTCTTTTGTTTCTATAGATTTTCTTACAAATCTTATAATTTTTATTTAATATGGCTCTATATTTTTAATAAAAAATTATATTATCAAGATAAAATATTTTATATTATTATAAAAACTATCAAAAATAAAGAAAAAACTAAAATTTTTCTTGATAATATTTATTACTATTATAGATTGCCAAAAAATATTATATCAAATAAAATGACTTATATTGTATTTAGATTTTTTAGAAACCTTTTAAAGATATTAAAGATAGATATAAAACTATCTTTGTCTTTTCATCTTCAAATTGATGAATAAAAAAATAAGTAAATAAAATTATGGAGAAATATCTAAAATACATAATTAAATATTATTAATATTATTAAAAAATTCTTTTATTATGGGTAGAATTTTTCTATAATAATTTAATATATTTTTCTACTCAACAAACACCTTTTTATGCTAATTATGATTATCATTTATAATTTTATATTTTGATTTTTTAAAATTTAATTATGTGGCAAAAGATTTTGTTTAAATCTTTTAATAGAGCTACATACAAAAATGAAGCCATAATTAAAAGAATCAGAAGAATGATAAAAAATAAAAATAAAAAAAAATAAAAAAAATAACAATGTCAAGAATGAGACCATAATGCCTACATCACATCTATTGCTTAGAGAGCTTTGGATTGACATACTAAAGATTGGTGAGTCGAATACATTTATAAATTGAACAAAAAAAAATTGGATTATAATATTGTCTTTGATGGTATTAAGATTGATTGGCTGATAATATAAATTTGTTTAATCTTTACCAAAATACTCTTCATTTGTTAAGTTATTTATTGGAGGTGATTTTATATAAAATTGGCCTCTTTTTTATAGTTTCAATTTTTATAATTAGAAATAGAGCTAGTGAGAACTTAGATGCAGAGAGATTTGGTGTGAATCTTGGATGGAATAGCATGTAATATTAAAGATTAAAATAGGTTGTGTTTGGAAGAAAAAGATAGTAAAAAAGAGAGAATTTAATTAACTTGAGGTGTTTCTACATTGCTTTCTCCTATGTTGTTAATTCTTCAAAGACCTAGTCCATTCTTTTGACCTTAGAAAGTATAAGCTATTTTGTAGCTTTGATGGAGAAAGCCTATTAAAACCATTTGAGGATTGTGGTATTATATGGAATAGTATTGTAATACAATTATATAGTGAAAGATAAAAATATAGGTTCTATTATATAAGAACTTAGTTTAAAGATAAAATAGCCAAACATAAAAAAATAGGGAGGTGATAAAAATAATTAATATTAATACTAATTTTTTATAAAAAAAAAAGACTTCTATTTACATTGTATGACTATTGATAAGACAAAATAATGTAGATTAAAAAAATATATACACATCTTTAAAAAGAATAAATAATAGGTTGTAGAAAAATTTATCTTGAAATATTAAGAATTAATAATAGGAGGATTGATTGTGAATCAGCATTGAAATCAAACTTCAAGGCACAAAACTACACACCTATGGCAATTTCAAAGATATTTTGATGATTGAAGAGTATAATTAAAAAGTGGACTTTAGAAGGATTATTTAGGCATTTTTTGAGGTGATTTGAGTACATATTGAGTTTTTGAGAGCTTTTCAAAGAGAGAAATATATTCAAAGATTTGAGGTTTTGAAAAAAAAAAAAAAAAAAAAAAAAAAACTTATGTATTTGAAATATTTGTCAGTTTTATAGAAAATTTATAAGTGAAAAATTGTGGGTTTATTATTATGCTTGTCTAAAATGTGCTTTACAAATTTGAGACCTATCAAACAATTAGATTAAATGATATAGAAGTTTTATTGGATTAGGATCTTGGATATTTGAATTTTAGGCTTAGTAAAGGATTTTTGTAATCTTAAAAAATCTACTAGTTTGATTAGAAAAAAACTTGGTGAAAATATTTTGTACTTATATATTTATAATTTTACAAATTTATAAAGAACTTAAATAATTTAACAAGGAGAAATTATTGTTGAAAGATCAATATTTAGATTAATTTATGATTTTTTTATATTTCTTTAATAATTTCTTTCAAACTTCTTTAAGATTTAGTTAAAATTTGATTAGGATTTTTAATTTTTAATTAAAATTTATTTAATATTCTTTTAGACTTGTTAGAATCTTATTGTTCCATTTTTCTATTTATCTTCTACAACTATGTCCTTGATGCATTCTCAAGCAAGAATTTACATATTATGACAACAATTATAAATTAAGACATATCAATAATGTCTAAAAACAAAAGACAAATTTTTAGTCTAATTCTATGTCTTTTTTTTTATTTCTTATAATTTTTTAATAATAAATTAACTATATCTAATTATTTTGAACTATAAGATCTAAGTAACAAAATCAATTGCATACAATTTTGGTGAAGCATTGTAAAATCTTTCTTACCTTGCTTTTTGAAGAGTTAATATTGTCAGCCTTACATACTGCTTCAAATTAATTTAAAAAGGCCAAAAAGTTTTTAAACTTGGTTTCTAAGAATATAATTAATTTTAGTTCAAAGTATTATATATATGTACAAAGAATAAGAGAAGATATTGATGCTAGTAAGTCAAGGTCAAAATTTGTGAAGCTTACTACAAAATTGGTGATGAATGGACTCAAAGGAGATATTAAAAAAGTAACATATTGATATCCATGTTCAAGCTTTAAGACAAAGAAAACAACACAATAGTATCCTTGCTTGACTTTGAAGGTTAAAAGTCTTAAAATAGAATCATTATTTGAATAAGAAAAATTTTAGACTAAAATAATATAAAGATATCAAAAAATAATTTAAAAATAACATCTCACATAATTAAGAATAAAATAATATGATCTAATATAAATTTTAGGAATGTCTTTAAGAAGACTAAGCACTTTCATGAACTATTCAATCTATTTTAGCTTATACTAGAATTTAAATTGCTAATACTTTAATTTTTAGATATTCTAATATAAATATTTAATTTTTAATTTTTAATTTTTAAGATTTTTTATAATTTTTTAATATTTTATGAAATTTTATTATTATTTTAAAGGATTATTTAAGATTTATTTGGAATTGATTAGAATATAATAAGCTATTCAAAATTATGTATCTATTTGGAATAACTTTGCAATAGGAGTTGTATTTGAATTGATACCACAACAAACAATTAAAATTCACAATCTTAAATTTCAATCAATTAATATCTTATTATATTCTTTAGATAATTATTCTTCTTTATGCTTGTAAGTTACAAAACACTCCACATGTCTATGACTCATTTTAGGATAAATATAATTAATTGCTTAATTGATTATGACTTTGGCTACAACTTCAATAAGTAGAGGAAGTACAAACATATATCAAAAATTTAAATAGGAGATTTTAACCAATATATGAATGTTTCTATTGCAAATTTTTTCACGCTAGAGAAAATGAGTCACCTCTTTTTGGTCTCTAATAAATAAAACTTGGTTTTAGAATTATATTAGAGTAAAAAGAAGTTTAATTAAATAGCATCAATAATTATTTTTTATCATAATAATATTACAATATAATAGAGGGCATGCCAAAATTAGTAGTAGAGATATAAATGAACCTTTTAACATCCAATCTATAATAACCTAAATGGCACAATGATTTGACTTGCCATTGATGGATTGCATCAAGTTGTTTGTTTCAAGATATTTCAATATATAAATCTACTACTTGGACTTTGTCTAATAATATTGTCAAAAATAAACATGATTTATCTTCCACACAAATGTCCTATAAACAATGCATTGGCTGACTCTCTAATAGATTTTTTAGTGTATTGTGATTTCATTTTCACAATTGAGCTTATTGTTTAACTATCATTTCAAATTCATTATTTCAAGCCATGTGTTTCATTCTTTATTTTATGTTTTGAACAATGCTATCTAATTTTCCATTTAAATTATACATGTTCTGTTCACTTTATAAAAACATTAACTATTTTACATTTGCATGAGAATTCCTTCTATTTAATTTCCTTTGTGAGATAATTAGTTACTAACTAATTTAGCTTATACTTTGTTTTAATCCTTTTTTTTTCTTCTTTTTGTTGTTATTTTCCCAAACTATGAATTTACATACTTGTGATATAGATTTTGTATTATTTAACCTAAAATACATGTAATGTTGAGTCTTGTTACAAACATTTATTTAGTGCAACTGCAGCAGTTTAATGATGAAGTGACTAAAGACACTGAAAAGTTCTACTCTACAGTAATGGACATGTTAGTTACATCCATAAAATATTTGGCTGTAAGTTTATGCTATTAAAAAAGCATGATGATACATAATAATTTAATTCTCAGTTGTAGTGCAAAGTGTAAAAATAACATTTTATTCATGATCACTTTTACTTTGTTCGTTATCATCAATTATCTATCTATAGATAGACATATAGATATGTTATGTGTAAATATTACCAAAAAACGAATTTTATTGAATGCATTTTTGAAGAAAAGATAAAAAAATCAAAGAAGTGAGACATAAACCTAAAAAAATAAGAACATCAGTTGAGCGATGTCTAAAGGATTTTAACTCCTCTGCTTGCAAAGTCTTGTTTTAGACCATCAAAATAAATGAATAAGTTAAAAAGTAAAACTTTGTCATGTTAAATTTTTTTTCTTGTCTTTCTTGCTTTTTTTGCTTTTGTTCTTCTTGCCCTTGCCCTATCATTATTCCAAAACAGAAATAAAACTTAATTTTATTATCCTCATAATTTCACAATATCAAGATATAATAAAAAGTTAACCTTTTGGGAGAAAAGCAAAATGGAGATCATGTTTCTGACTACCTTTTCATAAGAACCATGTTTGCGAAGTTTGTATCTTGCCCAATATCTTTGAATTCGCAAAGCAGCATAATATGGTAACCACCTTTTCCTTCTTTTTTCCTAATTTTTTGTTTCATTCAAGCATGAGTTAATATGACTCAAATATTTATTAAATGGCTATTGTCGCATTAATTCAAATTTATAATTTTTTATTTTTTCAAGTTACTCTTTTTAACAATAAATAAATAAATAAATAAATAAGAAAGAGTAAATGTCTTGAAAACCAAGATTTGCAAACTTGGTTACAAAAAAACAGTAAAAAAAATATATACATATGTGTGTGTGTGTGTGTGTGTATATATATATATATATATATATGGATAGATAGATAGATAGAGAGATATATAGTTCAAATGGGTTCTTACCACATTAATTAATCTAATGATTCTTTCTTCATTCTCTTTAATTTCAGCCTACATTGATTCACAAGCCAATCAATCAAAAATATTTAAAAATTAAGGATATAACTATTTTTGAGGAAATTTGTGGACTGTAGTTCAAGGAATATTTTTAAAATATATATAAATAAAAATTAAAAATTCAGTATTTAAAATTATATTTATATTTATATGTGTGTGTGTATGTACCATACGAGCTTTTTCTGCAAAGAAATGTTCCATTTTACAAAAATAACTTTGAAGTGTGTTCAGCTCAGTCTGGTCATTGTATTTCGATCAATCATTTGAAAATAAATTAAAATTACAAATAAAGACATTGTTTGTATTTGCATACACACCATGTTTTAAAAAAACATGAGAATAATTGGGATTTATATGGTACTAATTTCGTTAACATTTTCGGAAATCGCAAAGTAGAAAGTTGTAAAAATGAGGATATACTGTTGATTCTGCCAGTTCTTTAGTCTTAGATTTGATCCCAATCTCATATGTGGCTATCAACTCTTCTACTTCTTCTATGCTTTGACCTTTTTTACCACGTTGTTGAAGTTCTTTATCTCGGTTTTTCAACTGCAAAATAAATTTAAAACATTCAACATATATTCACACACACATGTTCATATTCTTGTGTTCTTGTATTCTGATGATCAAATACTAATTATTTGTTACAGTTTTTTGAGAAAGAAATGGTTTTATATAGAAGAGGAAACAACTTACTTGCAAATCAAACAAGTCTTCTTCCATTTTTGCATTCTCTATCAATAACACATTGTACTATTCTTCAAAGTACAAAATATCACACATTCGATTTAATGTAAACATGGGTTTTGAACAAAATCAAGTAAATCTATGAATGATATAAATTGAATGATGAGTGTAGAGCAAAATAATTAGGTTTATTATTTTTTGAAGTTATGGTGAAATCCATTCCTTAGACTACATATACATATTCTCCTATTTTGTTTTTTTTTTTTAAACACATAATTGAAAAAGAAAAAGAAAAACATGTATACTACAATAATAACTATTATTGTTGCTCACTTTAGCACTAAAAACAGAAAACTCTTGAGCTTCTAATTCAAGGAAATTGGTTTTGAGTTTGTCTTCCATTTTCTTGGCAAGCATTACAACATCATTCTTGTCCTCTTTATCACATATCATCAATCCAGTAGAGTTTCATATCAGACATTGTTATTAATATAATAAAAAATATTTACCAAATAAATGTACATTTGTAAGTGTCAAAAAAAATGAAATAAATCATTACGGTGAATGAGCTTCTCCTCATCTTGGTATTGAAACAAATCAAGTTCATGTGATTTTCTAGCATTTTCTAAGTCATTTTTCCATCTCTGATCTTCTTTCTCAAACTGCATCACATTTATTCGTCAAGTTCAACCTTATTACACATTTTCAAGTTCAACACTTTTATTTATTTAAAACGTTAATAATAAAAAAATTGAAACAAATTCATTTTTGTTTTATTGTTATTTTATTTTTATTTTTTATGGAAGTACCAATGCTTTTGAATCAAACATGTCTCTGCGGTAAGATTCAATGGCTTCATCTTCTACAACAGTTGTTGAGAATCTTTGCAATGCAAGATTTTTAATCTACAATACAATGTAACAAAATTGGTTAAGCCATGTTTAATTGAAATGATATATATATATATATATATATATATACTTATATTACACAACATGTGATAGTATTGATTTAATACATTCAAAGAACTCATCAATTAGATCATTCATGATGTGAGACCTTCTTAAGACAGTCAATCAAATAGCAAAAAGTAGGATGTGTTTCAAGTCCCAGTTGGTCTAATTGATCCCTTGCATACTCTTGATTCTGATTTTACCATGCATAACGTTGATTTCAGGAAAATATGCAAATGAACTGAACTTATTAAACTTGTATTAATTTTTGTATACTAAAACTTAGATGAAATTATTATTGTAATCTTGATGATCTTATTATTATATTCAATACAATACGTAAAAATAAAAACACATGATTTTGGAATTGATACATAATTAAAATAAAGATTTTTTTGTTTTTTTTTTTTTAGTTCTATTTCAATACATTTCAATAAAACTTAAGCCCAAATCCTTACAAGTATATAGCAAACAAAATTCCATGTTGACTTAATCAGTGTTGTATCATTCATTGGTATGAATTCAACTCCATCAATTTCACAGTTCACACTATTTTTGGGTACACTAACAACAGAATGGTGCTCTGGCATTTTTGAAAATGTATCCCATTCTTCTTTCCATACCCGTGTGGTTTCCGCATACACAAACAAGCTTTCTACTAATATTTCCATATCTACCTATTCTTGTAAACATTTATTTTTATTTTTATTTTTTCCTGCTCATGTTTATACTTTTAGAAATATTTTCAACATTTACACTAACTTAGAATAGCTTACATAATACAAGTTATGTACGCTATTCTAATATATATATATATACATATATATATATAACAAAATTACAACGACAAAAATAACACTGAATTGGTAGTTGAAGTTACAGATTTAATGCTTACATTGTCTTTCAAAGGATTGCCTTCATCATCCATGCAAACAAGCTTGTCATCAATTTCTTCAATTATGGGATAAATGCACTCTTTATTTGCATGTGGGTCTAAGTCTTCTTTACCTTGTTCTTTGATTTCAACGTTTTGTATTATTTCTTTGTCGTTTGAATCATTTTCATCATTTTTGGGGGAAACATCTTTGTAGCTCATATTTCCAAAGTAACCATGCCATAGTGGCTCTATCACCCTCTTTTGACAATAACGAGGCGATTTTCCACTACACACCCATTCAAACGTATTCTCTTCAATTACAATGTTTTCTAAATTGTTATTCTCAACAAGCACTCTTTCTTCAATAATTTCTTTTTTATGTAGTTGCTTTTGTTCTTCAAGTTTTTTCATGTTAATATTTTGTTTCACTTTCTTACGTGTTCTTCTCCTATCATTAATTCTTGTCCTCATGTTAGGTTCTCTTTGGTGAGGACCTTCATTGAGAACGCATGTTTTTTTTGTTTGATCAAAACTATTACTTTCTACATGTAAGTCTAATTTTCCACCACAATTCTCAATGTTCATTTTTTCTTCTATACTTTTTGCCTTCATGTTTTCCAAGTTTTCAGAGTAGTTTTCCCCTTCATACACTAAATCATCCTTATCATTTCCAACTTCAAAATCATGAATTGGGATCCACTTCCAACATAAAATCTCTTCCGTCATCATGCCCAAGTATCTAATAACTTCAAACAAAGACCAATGAATACATTGAAATTGTACATAAACATCTCAAATCAAAAGAAAAGAAAGGAAAAAAAATAATATATATATATATATATATATATGAAGCTTAAAAAGGTTAATGGAAAGCATACCCAAGCATTGTTATTGCATCATTTAGCAAATATATGAGTAATTGACAACTGGTGATGGTGGAATGAGATGGGCTTTGAGGGAGAAAATCCACTTCCTCCTTCTCTTCCATATCCATTGATATAGTTCCTTCTTCTTGTAATTCTTTGCTTATGTTTCAATTGGACATGGATAATGTATTATTAATACAAGATTCATATTTAAAATCCACTTTTTAATTAATGTCATATGTCGTTCTAAACCTATGTTGTGGAATTGATGTATTGTCTTGCAATGTTAGAAGAGGTTTGTGATGTTTCAAATAAGATCACAAAATACATTTCATATTTACACTATAACTATGCAATTGAAAATTAATCGTGATGTTTCACACTTAAATATAATATATATATTTTTTATTTTTACAATGAGCATTACCATTTTTTTCAATTGAGTAAAAACACAAATCAAAATTTTAACCAATATGACTTTTATAGATATTAAAATATTTTTTCTGAAAATATATATTACAAAATTATGAGATTTAACACAATGTAGATAATTAAGGTATTGTCATGCATACTTGCAATTTCAAAGTTATTAGATATAATTTTCACATGAATTAGTGAAAATCTATAGGGTTTTTTATTTTTGTTTTAATTGTTTATTTATTTTTTGAGATTCAATATTTTGAAAAAAATTCTAAAGAATAAATTATTGTTGTGTTGATGGTTACAACAACTTCTAATATTAATGATTGTATGATATCTCAAGATACATTATTTGTGATTTTGTATCATAAGAATTATTAATGAAAATAGGTGAAAATGAATTTATTTAATATAATAGATCATAAACATGTTCATGCAAGAAACTAATGACCAAAATTCTACAAGCATATTCTCTATAATTTCACCTATTGTTTTATCTCTTGTAATGACAAAAATCTATTAAACTTTAAATCAATCTCATTTCATCAAATATAACATGTGATTTGAGAACACATGTTCATCTTAAATACATATAACAGTTCAAACTCGTTGTAATAATTTAATGTCTCATGCAAATCTTCTCCTCCTAGGACGTGAGATTTTAGTCGCTGCTGCTGTTGATAGGGTTTTAGGGTTTTAGGGTTTAGGGCTCACATCTCGTTCTCGTTCGTTTGCCGACAATTGTTTGGATTTTGCATCAACACTAACAATGATTGCTATCAAGTATGTTACAATTGAACGCTAACTTTTGAATTTAACTTTATTTTTTAGAATATTGTAAAACTAAATAAATAAAGGTTAAATATTTTGTTTGACAGCCCAAAATTGATGTTTATACTATTTAATTTCAGGATAGTTATTTTTTAATCTTTTAATTACTTTCAATAATGTGTGGCAAGATTTTAAAATTACTAGTTGTTTCAGATATTTTTTAAAAACTAATTATCTAATTTTGATATATTGATAACGTTAATTATATGAAAAAGAACAGTATGTACAATCAGACCAGTTGTAAATCCCACCAATACAATTAATAAGGTAAAGTCGGTAACATTTCCAGTTTTAAACACTTCAAGTACAAATAATTAAAAACTATGTATTTGTCATTAGATTTTTTTGAGTATCTCTACTAAATTATAATGGTTTCAGAGTTCCAAGAGTTGCACAGAGTGCAGAAGAGTTTCCTTCAAATCCTCAAAGGAAATTTATAAAGAGAAGTAATATCATGTTTATTCTTGTGAAGATCACTAAATGCAACCCTAAAAACAAATGATAATTACATTCATGTCTCTTTAAAATTAATCACAATTGTGTTGTATTAATAGTATGCATCATACTTTCTTCAGAATCACAATTACTACATTCAAATATGAATTTTTTTTAATAGTTTTCTATGTCTTATATATATATATATATATATTCTATAAAAAAAAATCCACTGTTTCATTCTGAAACCTATGGACACACATGCTTGAGCAGTCACACACGTTAGACTTTTTGAGGTAATACAATTGGACAAAAATCCCATTATCATAACAACACATATTCCAACAATTGATGCATTCTAAGTAAGCAACAACATTCAATCATTTGGCTTTTATTTAACATGACTTCTCAAACCATGTTTACAACCATGTCATATACTCAACACAGTCAAAGTGGTCAAATTTAACCTAACATTCAATTGTTTCTATGTGTAATTTTTTAATCCAACCAAATCCCATCCACAACGTTCCACAAACACCATCTCCACATGGGACAAAATAGTGCAAAATATGCATGAAAATCAGATTATTCAATGAAAACATTAGTCACTACTTATCCCATCAATGGATTTGGCACTGAGAGATTTCACAAGGATTGATCCAATGAAGAGCGTTCTAGACTAATTTAACCCCCTTCTAATTTACATTAACAAGTATACGGAGCAGATATCGGGATACTTTTAACCACTACTACTTTTACTTCACGGTTGCTGTTTGAAATGGCACTGAGTTAACAAAGCCAAAAAGTAAAAGTGTAAAGTAAAAGTGGAATTCAAAGTTAAAGTTAAAAGGAAACGCCGCAGGATTAAAGTAAAAAGGAAGTCGACTGTGCAACGGACGTAACTTCAACGACTGCTGAGTTGAGGAGGGTTCTGTCGTTGTTGTTGCTACTTCTTCTTCTTCGTTGTTATTGTTGTTGCTGGTTTATTTTTATTTGGTTTTGATCGTGGCTCTCTTTGTTGCTTGCTCCGCTGCTGATGTGAAGGAGTCGGAGTCGGAGTCGACGTCGAGCTTTGTGGTTGTTCACTCTTACTTCGATGTGGCTGAGTTGGTGCTCTCTTCCTTCGCGAACTTATTCTGTCATTGGTCTTCCCTGTCACCACAAAAGAGAGGTTCATGGAGGTAAGCAAACTCTAGTTTAGTGTGCGTTTGTGTGATTTTTGTTTGCCCTTCAGAGTTTAGGCACTTCAATTTCCCAATCTGTTCCGCTGTGGAGTTGCAATTAATCTATTCATGCGGTGCGCCAAGCATTTGCTACAAGCAATGGTGTGGGGGCGGGAGCTTGGTGGATTGGAACGATATGGTGCTAAGAAGTTGGATGCCTAGTGTGGTTGGTGTATTGTGCTCGACTGGAATGGATTTCGGTGTAACGTAAGGCTCTGGGGGTGGGGGTGAAGGGAGGGAGGGATCAGGGGATTGAACGCGCGAGAGAAGTTTGAGGGATGTGGAATTGCGGTGTTGGCGTAATCTGGTTTTTGGATTTTTTTTCGTTTTGGTATTCGTGGGTGTGAGCGAGGAGGGGGGGGGGATGGAGCCGGGTCAGTAGTTTTGAGAGCTTTTATAGTTTCTTACAGCTTGCGTCAGTTTTGAGCAATTGAGGGAGTGGCTTTTGAATGCTGGTTATTTTTTGGAAATTTTCGTGTGAAGAGATGAGATGAAATGAGTCTTCCGGTGAAGCGGGAGCACGAGGAGACGGCGGCAGTAGTCGAGGGGGCCAGCACTCGGACTGGGAAGCCGCAACATGTGGGAGGTGGGAGCGGAGTGATTATGGAGTCTGCGTTCGCGTTTGGAGGAGGAGGTGAGTCTCGTTCTACTAAAGTAGCGCGCCATGGTGATCGTGGAGTGGACTCTGGAGAGAAGGTAGAGCTTTTCAACAACAGTGCGCATACGAATTATCAACCTGCGACTGATGGAGGTGGCTCCGGGCCGATTGAGGATATGGTTGCAGAGGGGAAGGAAGTGCAAGTGCAGACACTGAAGATCAAGCTGAAGGACCTTGGTGGTGGGAGTGCAGAGGGGAAGAGTGATCGAGAGGGGCGGGATCCAAGGCGTATGGATTTGGAGAGGAAGACAAGTGGCGGGAAGGATTATGGGGATGCGCTAAGGGAGAGTAGTGGCAACAAGGAACTTCTTGGTAAGGTAAATATGAAGGGCGAGGAGCAGTTGCTGCAGCAGGGAGGGAGTGGTCGGGAAGTAGGGCAAGAATTGGTGATTAACAGTCGGATGGAAGGAAATCCTGAAGGTTTGAGGAAAAAGAGCCCTCGCGAGGGCGAAGTTAAAGCAGCCGCGAAGGATGTGCCGATGGATGTGAAGAAGGAAGAGCTGCGTGAGAAGGAGAAAGAGAAGAAGGATGACACGCTTAGTGAGCGGAAAGATGGTGTGCTGCCGACATTACTGCATCCGCACTTGGATGCTAATGCTGAGAAAGATTATGAGAGAGATGAGAAGGAGAGAGAGACGGGCGACAAAGAGAAAGAGAAGATGCGGGAGCGGGAGCGGTCGCGTGACAAGGAGAAAGAGGCAGTACGCTCGGAGAAACGGGAGAAGAGGGAGAAAGAGCGTGATCGGGATTCCCATTGGCGAGAGCGAGAGGAGCGAGATGATAATCTCGGTGACAAAGCGGAGAAAGAGGAGGGAAAAGGGGTCAAGGTTGAGGACGTGGAGATGGACAGAAAGCCTGTGCGCGAGGTCGACGAGCGTAAATTGTTCGAAAAAGAAGTGCGCGAGCGTATGCGGGAGAGAGATAGAGAGAAGGAGAGAGATGAAGAGGGGGATGGTGAGAAGCGTAAGAAACGGGGTCGCGAGTTGGACAAAGACCGTGATTCGTTGAGCAATATGGACAGTGAACGTCCGGAAGGGGATAAAGAAAAGGATGCCGTTCATGGCTATGGAGTACAGCAGCGTAAGAGGATGTTGCGTCCCAGGGGCCAGTCAAATCCTTCTAACCGAGACCCCCGGTCACGATTTCGGCCCAAAGACAATGAAGGGTAGGTTTTGATTTTGTTTCTTCTGGAATATGACGCATTGGAGGATTTTTTTTTTTTTTTTTTTTTTTTTTTTTTTTGATGAAATTATATTCAGCAATGCGTTCACTTCTACTCAAGTATGTTGCGAAATATTTGTGCGGTGTTTTAGATCAGCGTTGCTTCGAACATGTAATCCTCACTATCTTCCTGAACAAATGTCGTTGGATTTTTACCCTCTTAACAATCGAATTTTTTTTATCCTCCTGGCGCAGTGGTGTCTCTAGTTTGTCACCTATGTTATCATTAATCTGTGAATCAATCACTTTCGTCTATCTGAACATCACTTTAACGGACAACACAGATTGTAGAAGATAGCTCGTGCTTTGTCAACGTCCTATGTTGGTTTTTCCTGTTTATAATTTAAGCTTTAGGGGTATCCTGCTACAAGCTCATTAAAACCGCTTTCTTCCATACACCTGCTAGTGCAGCATACTGATCTTTCTTTTTGGTGTAATGCAGGACTCAAGGTCGGTCAACCGTGGATTGAAGTGATATGGGTGTTTTGATTGACAATGTTTTTCATGTCGCATGTCCTCCAGATACGACTTGTAGTAGACCTTATTTTTTTCTGTTTCTGACGGTCTGATATCGTGCGCTTTGTATTCAACAGGTAGGGCAGAAAGTTCGTTCATTACTTACAGAATTGGAGAAGGGATGCCGGAACTCGCGAAACTTTGGAAGGAATACGAGTCTGGTGAACGAAACAGTCCAGACAATGGGTCGGGTCCTACCGTTGAAATTCGTATTCCTGCTGAGCACGCCACTACTAATAACCGTCAGGTTGCAACTCAATGCTCTTGTGAATTTGTTCACTTCTTAATTAACCTTTCCTATAGGTTTATTGAAAAGTTGAAATCATCATCTTAATTGTTTTCGTGTGCGTGAATTGTTCACTTTATTTAGGTACTGACTAGTAAGACTAGACGGTTTTATTCTAATTTTTGACTATCCATGGTCAAACTGTCCTAGTTCATACAAATTTGGTATCCCCCTACTCTTGCGACACCTCCACACAACTAAAAGCGAACAATTTTTCTGTTAAAACGGTATTTCAGATACGGGGTAGTCAGCTATGGGGAACAGATATATACACAAATGACTCAGACATTGTTGCAGGTAACATTAGTATAACATTCTAAAGGTTTGATTATTGTCTTATGCTGAATGTTTGTGCTTTATGCAGATTTGCAAGGATCGTTTCAGCTCTGATCTTGCTCGATTTAAATTTTTATTTTGATAAATCAAAACCATGCAATTTTTCTAAAGCGTCTATTTGTTATGATTGCAGTCCTGTTACATACAGGATACTACTCACCTTCTCCGTCTCCGCCTCCAAATTCTATATTAGAGCTGCGAGCCACCGTTCGAATTCTTGAATCTCAAAATAGTACGTCTTTCCTACCAAGGGCGTGAGGCAGATGTGGTCACAGTCTATACTTGCAAATGCTTTCAAACGCCGCAAACGTGTGTCATTGAAGTCTCCCATCTGTTACAAAGCGTGTGGGGTCTATTGGTGCAGTGTACATGTCTACGCTACGAAATAGTATTCGATCGCGTGCCTGGGGAGGCGGAAGTGGGTGTAGCTACAGCGTTGAGAGGTGCCGATTAGTGAAGGTTAGTTCTTCAAGAAATTACTTGAAAATGAAGAGTTTGTTGATCTTGTTCAACTTTCATATCTGCCTGTTTTTTGAAGACTTGAAACTATCGAAGTCCTGATGGTATGAAAACTTATAAGTCTTCTAGTTACTGATGAATCCCAATGTGGCAGTGGTTGAAGGTTGGGTTATCTTAGGATTCATTACTCTTCATCCAACGCATCGAAGACAAAATAGTTTCCTTCCCTCAATAAATGTTTCTATTCTTATTGGTTGGTTATGTATTGTGCAGCAAGGAGGGGGTACTGTAGAGCTGGAGCCATCTTTGACTCGAACTCCTCCATTTGTCCCAACGCTTGCGCCGGCTGCATCAGAGCGAACTGTCACCACGAGAGCTGCATCTTCTGTAAATATTTGACTCCTCTCTGCAATTACATTCTCATTTTTTCAATTGCGTAAGAAGTACTGTATATGGACATTGTTCTAGGGTTCACCAGCATGGGTTTGTGTTCATAGCTGGTTGGTTGTACTGCTGAAATCTCTTACGTTCAATTTTCAGCTCAATGGTTTTGAACAGTTTTTTAGTAATGATGCCACGTAAGGATTACTCTGCATCCGAATGATTTAATACTTGCCTGTCTTTATTATAAAATTCGTTTTTGGCCGTTGGATGTATCAACTGATTTGATGTTTTCTAGATGTTTAACTGTGTAAAGCAACACGCAGAGTGCATATCGGCAGCAAAGATTTATGCAGGAAGTGACAATACAATACAATCTATGCAATGAACCCTGGTGCGTTATTTCTGAATTCGTTGGTAGTACTTGTAGTGAGAACACATGAAAGACTTGCGTACGTATGAGCTATGCGTTTGACATGCTAATAATGTCCTTCGAAGCTTTTGTTTGTCATTGTTCCAGGAAGTAATGACTTTGTAAGTACGTGTCCCATCCACATTTGGTCTTTTAGGATTCTTAGGTCCGTACTGACTGCTTGAAACTTGTTCTATGAATTTTGTTTCACAATTTGTGCACCTATGTTCCGTGTAAAAGCCAAGTTGTTGTGACGATGTCGTGAACCAACATGCAAGTAGCAAGCATGTAATCAACATATGGCCAACTTGTCAGGGGTAGGTTTTAGTGTTCAATGATAATGGATCAATTCTGTTTCGATTCATTTGCAGGGCGAAATACAGCATGAGCATCGTGGCTGATCGTGGACTGAAGAATTCACAATACACGTCTGCTCGACTCAAAAAAGGGGAAGTATTATATGTAGAAACCCAGACTCATAGGTCAGTTTACTCACGCCATCAAATGTGTTCAACTTAGTTAAATGATCTCTTTAGCATGTGATTGCATAGAGAATCCAAGACGTGAGTTTCCACACCAGCTTGCTTTTTCTGGAACACCCAAGTACTAATTACATTATGTAAATACTTCAAAGCGGTTCTATAGTCTCAATTAGCTTTTGTTGCGTGCCCAATTTTCCGTATTTAAATGTCCCGTCGGTTATTTACTGATTAGAAGGCCCTTATAGTTTATGTAGTAATAGATTAGGCAGTTAATGTAGTAATTAATTTATAATCACTTAATTGGTGGTTGCACAGGTATGAATTGGCGTATGATGGAGAACGTATGACGAGTAATGGAGCAACTACTGCCACCTCTTTCTCTCAAGGCAACTCAGGGACGGAAAAAGGTAAAGATAAATGGAGTTTGGGAGTTTGTGACAAAGAACCTATTTCGCAAATTTACAATGGTGAGTTACCGCATGGGAATCATCCAAGTAATGGACAAACAGGTGGCCATCACTGCCACCATAATAGCGAGCCACATGAGTACTACAGATGGTCTAAGTGTAAACGACCTCTGTCGCTATCGTCCATGAAACGAAAGGGTGTACCCTTGCCAGGAGAATTTGTTGAGGTGGGTGTTATGTCTTGATCCTGTATCTTGCCTTGAGTTTCTGATTGTTGTTTGACTGTTGGACCAGAGGATTGTGAAATGCGTTCCTTTAGCCCTTTTCGCCCGAAATGAACAGAATTCTATCTCACACAAGGGGGTTATGGATTTTATTTTGTAGGTTTTGGAAGAAGGTCTGGGATGGGAGGAAATTCAGTGGTCTCCAACGAGTGTGTGGGTCCGGGGAACAGAGTACATCCTCAGTAGAGCACAATTCTTTTCTTTTGAGAAGGATGATATGGAGGAATAGGGACGAATGTTGTCACAAGTTTTGGTAGAGCACATCTGCCATTTGATTTTCAACGATCTGCTAAGTGATGGCATGATTCATACAGGTTGTTGATATTCTGAACATTTAGGGTATTAATTACATTCAGTTTGAACATTCAAAATTCTTGCTCATCTATTGGAGCGTCATGCATGTGAAATTACTTCTTGAGAGTAGAAGATTTCTATCAAATACAGTATTCTGCAAATGGAGCCTTGACAAACTTGCACGTTGACTTCCCTCGTGTTATCCTCATGAACAGTTATTATTGGTGCTATTACCAGCACCACTAGAGTGTATTTTCTGATAAGGTGCATGCGCGTGTTCAGGTTGAATCATGTCAAGTGAAGACTGTTTTGTCATAACAGATGTATTTACGGGAAATGGTGTTGGACTATTGATGTGGTTGTACTTGCTATATGCGAGTAGGACATGATGGTATTATAATCTGACTGGGGCTTCACCGAGAAGGAACAATTCCTTTCATTTTTCAAGATCTAAAGATACACTTACTCTCTGGACATCCAAATTTGTACTCTGAACAGTTGATACCATTCGATCGAAGCACAATCCTCTGACGTTCTACGGTTACCTATGCACAGTCGAGAATTGTGCGCCATTTCAGCACCTAACAGAACTGACACTAGCAAATTGACCGGTTCACTTGGAAAACCTAAATGTGATTTCATATGTCTCACAATAAACATATTGCTGGCTAGTTCCAGCACAATCAATGGATAAACAGACAGATGTAGGGTGTACAGGGATGTCGGCTGCCTTGTCTGTTACTGAAAACCTTCGATGTTGAAGCTGCAGCCTATCCAAAAGCTTTGGTTCAAAGGGATTTCTGTGACAGCTCTTTTCTCATGCAATGGCAACAAACTGTGGGACTGCAAGCGGTTTTTTGTTTCGTTTTTCTCTTTTGTTTCTTGCACTGGACCATTAGAAGTAGTTTCAATTTTTAATTCAATTTTAATTTTGAACTATTAGTGGTAAAAGGATTCTGAGCCCAAGTTTGCTTATATAGCTCTACTTAACCAAATGTATCTTAAAATGGCATAATTCCAATCTATCATTGTTTGGGCAAGTTTAGCTGCGAGGTTCTATCTTAAATCCTTACTAATCTAATATTATTTTGATTTTTAGTTAATTACATGCCAATGCCTGACGAATATTGCTTCAGAATCATTCACAAGTTGCAGCAAAAAAAAAACATAGAATAGTAGTACAATTTCATTAGTACAATTTCATTTATTTGGAACTCAAAACTTTATATAAAAAATATTCAAATAATTATTAAGAATCTCAATAAAAATAGAAATTAAAAGGTTAATTATGGGTTCTTCATTTAAACATGGTTTTTAAAAATGAAGATTGAAGAAGTTAGACTTTACAAGTTGACAAAGTCAAGTTGGTTAGTTTCTCCCTGATCCCATCCAAATAAATCATGTTCTACTGTTTATGATTACAACTAATAATTAAATAAAGTATATAATTGTTAAAATTTTCAATTGAAGACATAAATGGAATATCTTAGAATATTTTGTATATTAAAAATAATATTATATGAGAAAATAAGTTTGAGAGATAGCGTCTAATTCAAACAATCTATAAAATATTTACAAGTATTAAAGATTTTCTTGGTTGTAACAATGAGACAAGTTCAAGTTTATCTAAAGCAAATATGTTAACTTTGAATTAACAAAATATTAGTAGTATATTTTCAAATTATTGTAAATATAATACATCATTGGTGAATGCTAATTTAGGAAAATCTAAAAAGAACTATAAATCATCTTTCTTAACATTATTATAGATGTTATCAAGTTCTTTGGATTGGATTGTAATTCACAAGATTGGCATAAGGTAGTAAAATTGCAATTTTTTTGAAAGAAATTTATTACACTATTTTTGAAGCTATGCGTAGTTGAAAAATATAAGAATTAATATAAAATGGATTTATTTAACAAATAATTCTACAATTTTTTTTTCTTTGTATGTATAAATTGTAATCAACATCATGATTTATCCTACAAGTTGTTGCAATGTTTGTTTACTTGTTTTAATTTCTTTTATTTAATTATTCCATTTATCTAGATATATTTCTTTTGTTGAGCCATCATGTTTACTATGCATGATAATTAATGTTTAAATTTGAATATTATTAGTATTATTATAAGCATGCTCATGTAAATATGGTCAACAGTAGTTGAGCATAAATTCGGTCTTCACTATTATGAAAACAGAGAAATAAACAAATGCAGAAAAATGAGCGCAAGCGAGATTGAGAACTGTCAAAAATAAGAAATGTAGAATTTTAAGTGTCAAGTGGAGTGGGACTTTGATACAGATTTTAATAATCATGAAGAGTAGCCAGAACAGTGAATGAGAAGTCCAACAAAAGTATTCCTGACTAAAAAAGTATCATGCTTTGTACTGAAGGGTAGAAAAATTGACATAATTTGTTTGTATTTTTTCAGGGGGATGGATATTTTTATGATCATTATAATGTTTCTATTTTGTTAGGAAAATTGTCGATTGAGTATGTGGTGAATTTGTTTATTTGGATAGGGGTGATTAGAGTATATTTTTGTTCATTACATGTAAATCATTTTTTGTTACTTACCTGAATAAAACGAGGTCATTAGTCTGAATCAATCAGTTTGCATATGAAAGAAAAGTTGTTCTGAAAATGAAAGAGTGATTGCTCTAGATTATTACAAATATTCTCTTCTAGTGAAGTTGTTATGACACACTTGGCCATTTCATACTCATCAAAATCTAATAATTCATTTCTGAATGCCATAAGCTACGTTTACAGTAGGACTTATACCACGAGGACAACAGGCAATAAAGGAAAACAACCAGAAAAAACAGGAGAAAGAAAGATAACAGGAAAAATAACACAATCAAAAAACAAAACTAAATATACAGACATAGAGACACAACACAACATAGACTTTCAATTGAGCCTCTGTCGATCAAATATTGAAAAAAAGCAACTTGCCCTTCCTAGCATTCAGTGCCGGATCGAGCTCATTTGCCGCGTAACGAGTTGCTTCAAATGCTGGTTATACGTTGCATAGATACAATACTACTCGGGACAGGCGCGCTCTATCACCAATCTTCTCCCTGTGGAGCTCAGGAATCGAGACACATGAAGTCTAATCTGGGCTGCTGAACTCATTAGCTAAACTATCGCCGGCCACAGAACAGTTGCTGTATTTTCACCAAATTAATGCATTTCGGACGTGAGACAATGTACACTACAAAGGGGAAATGGCCCTCGATGGTTACCGTGAGTCTCTAACTTGTCAAACAAACTCTAAACAAGCACGTTTCACAACAAGCTTGTGCATAGGAGTTGGAAGCATCCCTGAGAGATTCATTGGGTTACTGTCGATTTGACATCTGATACTACCTCGGAAGCCTGCTGCTGAACAAATCCAGTCGCTTCCGACAAGGCGGCCTCCGGGTTCGGTACAGAAGGCAAATCAGCTAGAGATGGCGATTCAGAAGTTGTGGAGATTTGCTCTGCGACGGAAGCGGGTGCCGCAACCTCACTGCTGAACTTCGAAACGTAGTAGGTCAAGGGAGGTCCCACGTATGCGGTCTGGGGAGCTGGGGCATTCTTGCCCACCGACAAGAGGATAGATGCAGCACTTGCTACGGCGATCAGGCCGAGCCCTCCTGCAACGGCAAGGGCCTCACCTGAACCACCAGATGCCCCTCCTGCGGTACCCGTGCTGATGGCACTCTCGGCAACGTAGATAGTTGGCTGTCAAGGTCATCCAGAGACTATCGTGAGCGATTTCCTTAAGACATTGACATGACACGATCCACAAGTCTTCTACATTAACCGACATATTGAGCTAGATGGTGCAAGTGACGAATTGGGATACACCTCACAGCTAGGCTTTACCTCAACGGCGTAGATATTCGTCTGCCCTGCTGTGTCCTTCTCAACGTACCCAGTCCACTTTCTTTCCTGGCGAGCGAGTGGAGGGTAAGTCCCAGCCACCTTAGAGTTATCCTCGGTTTTCCAGTCCAAGCTGAGCTTTCCAACCTGTATAGAGGCACATCACACTACCACGATAAGCGAAAGAACCAGGTATTGACCATTAACCCGCAGAGATTCGATCATATCTCAAACCTTAACTCATCGTTGCTTCTCCACTAGTATCCGTCAACACTATGACAACTGCAGTCCTGGACAGTTTATTGCCGTCTCGCATGATCAGTTTGTACTGTGAGTTCCAACCTCCAGGCGACGTCCAACCGGATGACTCATAACCACCTCTAACCGTAAAATCCCCGGGAATACATAACATCACCAGAACACTATCAACTCGCAATATGAGCAGTGCGGTTCCTTCGAGTATGGCACGATCCGAGGAGACAAACTACGTGGTTAAAAAACACAGTTCAATTTAGGCATACAAGTACTACAGCATTGGGAATTCCCTAGAATCTATCAGACCATCACAAGGAGTTAATGGTTCACGTACAGTGCTTAACCCACAATTGGGTCATCACAGAGCGAACTATCATGTATCCGCTGAAAATTAGTCTCGGGCTACCACATCCCCAGCTCGATCATGGGTCCAGAATCCAGTCACTGTTAAGTTGCGATGTACTACCTCCGTAATGCCCTAGTACCTCCAAAACTCCGGTCATTGAAAACTCCACACAATAATAAGGCGAAAATGTGAAGTAGACAGCGCAGTACAGTACTATACCTCCTTCGTTGGGGCGCACTCCTCCTCGTTACACTCCTCGGGAGATTTCACCGCACAAATCTTGGAGGGCACAGCCACCAAGCGTCCACCCTGGGAAGGGGCGAAGGAGGAGCCACTGAGGGCAGAACCCATGAACGAGAGGGCATTGCCCTTCACAACTGTGCAGCTCATCATGGTTTGGGCCAGTCCTGCCATGGCCAAAACACGAACTACGCCGGGATGGAATCCAACAGCAAGCCAGCAACAACGGTACAATACAACAGCAATGTCAGGAGCAAACAGAACTAGAGCCAATAGACCCAAAGAGATCTGTGAAATAATATTCTGAGCTGTGGAGGTATAGAAGCGTGATCGCACCCAAGTCTGGGCAGAGATCGCGAAGAGGAGGATATTTTTCTCCTCGCATGTGGATGCGAGGAGCGAGCTATCGCTTGTGGGGCGATGGCGAAATGCGCGTGATGTGGAGCGTCGCCGGCCACCCACATCCTATCCCCGCCACAGCCAGAGCTTCTCTTCTCCTCTTTTTGTTTCTTTTGGTATTTTCTCCCTTCGCAGGACCAGATTTGGTGAAGTTTCGGCCACGCTGCAATCTGGCAGAAAGGTGGCAAAAAAACAAAACAAAAGGAAAGGAAAACTACCACCCATCGTCGTTCGTGGCTCCTGGCTGCTGATGAACTGGGTGTGGGGGGGAGGGGAGCTGAGGTGGACATGGTCCCCCGTGGAGTGCTGAGGTGGATCCCTCCCCCGCGCTGAGGTGGCAATTCCACTTCATTCTTGTCCAATGCTGGATTTCTTTTTGTGCCTCGTTTTGAACCAAATATGTAACAAATCTGGCGATTCATCAAAACTATATGTTGAACTAAAACAAAATGTAGTTAAGAAATTATAAGTTGTGATATGCATGGTGTCAATCTAAAACAATTTTTGGGATAAAATACAAAGGATTCTTGTAATTAATCTAAAGTGCAATAGGATTATGAACACTTTTTAGATGGCTATACCATTCTTAAAATAAACCTTAAGAATCCAGAAGATTCTTTATTGTTAACCATGCAATTGATCCTACTTATTTAAAATTTGCTTCAATAAAATGCCATATGGTAAATTTGGTCATTTTCTTCCATGCATGACAATATTGCACCTAATATAAAATTCAATGTGTTTATTTTATAGAAATAAAGAGTACAAAATATTAATATAAAAAAGATTTGTAGTGAATATTGTTTTCAAATCTCAAAATATTACTTTTTAAAAATTATTTTGAAATTTAGAATCTGTCTTTATAATTCAATCAAATAAGATATATATTTTAAAATATGTATATATAATAATCTAAAATTAGTTAAAATCTTGAAACATCTTTCATAATATTGAAATTCTCTATATTTTAATTATTTGGTATTTTTATATGATGTGGCTTGATTCTAGCATGATATAATTACAACTTAATGGTTGTGGATTGTTTTTCTTAAAAAATATAAATGTATATATATATATATATATATATATATATATATATTGTACTACATGTTGTAAGATAATTGATAATATTATATGTATTTAAATATTTTAGGAGAAAAATATTACCTTATTAATATTTTTAATAAGATATTTAATTTATTCAAAATCTTCCTTAATATATCATAATTAAATATTGAAGATATAAATCTAGCAAAACTCAAAAAAAAAAAAAATCATGAACAACTAAAAAAGAGGAAAATTGGTAGATATACAAGATTAGACAAGATATACAAGATGTTTTAATAGTAGTCCTTTGGAAGTAGTAAACTCCTTACAAAAATTATCCTAGGCACATGGACTACTTATAGATTAAATCTATATTTTAAAAGCTTCTTTGATGTTCTTTAAATAATATATTATCTACTTAATACATTTCATCTTATTTCTATTATAGAAGTAAATATTCATAATAATAATTAACTTAATAATATTTTTGTAATTCTAAAAATTTATAAATAATAATATAAAAATATAGATATTTTGACTTTAAAATATTTAATTATATATATATTTTAAATAAATAAAAATAATATTTAAAAATTTATTATTATTATGGATATAATCAATATTAGAAATTACTTTAATAAAAAGATTTAGATAGAAGTAAATAAAAGTGTCAAAGACATGAATCTTAAAGAAAAAAAATCCTCAATACACTCTTGTATCACTGAAGAGAACTAGAATGTCACTCAAAAGATGATATAATATTAAACTAAAATAATATATTGCTAAAATATAAGAAAACTACAAAGACTTGAAATAAGACTAAGGACTAGAAAGGCATTGACAAGAATGAAGAAGACTCCACTCTTGCTTTCATATATACTCTTAATTAGGAGCTACGTGGCAATGTCGTATAGGACCTCCAAAACATGTTGAATTTACAAGACACGTATCTTAACTTAAAATGCAAGTTTTCTATATGTATGCTACATAATTAGCTTGTTTTGTAAGTTATTAATACATGGTGAACTTGTTGACTAAGTTTCTAATCTATCAATCAACTACAAATATATGTAAAGTCAAGCAACATCTATGAAGCTTTTACAAAGTTACAAAGCTTTTAAAGAGTCTTATGATATAAACCTACTTTTATCTATTTTTACATATTCCAACCTAATCATATAGGTGTTTACTTGAATACCTATGTATGTCTATGACATTACCTCCCCTTTTTAGGAACAAGTTCTACGAGGAGCAGTCTTCATGTGTTGAGGAAATCTAAGATGCGACAAATTGTATTTGTCACATACTTCGACCTTTGTTCTCTTCAAAGATGGTTGATAGGCCCTCTCAGCCATCGATAGTGTCCCATATCAAGGCAAGACAACCACCTTGTTCTTTGGTCGTTGTTGAGGCCTTCATAACTTCCTTCGAATAAAACATTTAGAACACTGTCAGGACTTGTTCCTATATATAATTAAATCACCAAACATTGAGAGTCACTTCTAAGGTCGTGATACCAAATATATTGTATCTCGACATATATTCGAGGAAGGACATATCATTCTTGAAGATCTTCATCTTGAAGGTTGTCACAACTACAATGTCTCATGTGGTAAGTCTGCAAATGAAAGCTCTTGAGTTAAATCTATTGATTGTTGATTTTCTATCTTCTTAGCGTCATAAATACACAAAAGCTATAAAAAAGATAGAAGATAAAATGTTATCTTCTTTTGATTTTATTTCATTTATTACAAAGATTTGCTATTCTTCATAATTATTTTGATCGATGTCGTCAATAAAAGAGTTCAACTCTCTTTCTTGCATTTGGTAATATTCTTTGATAACTCCCATGTACATTCACTAATATCATATCCACACCAATGAATAAGATATTCCAACCTATTTTGGCACCACCTTGAGTCTATGACTTCTTCTACCTAAAGCTCTTAATTATCATCCACTTCAATAAGATGAAGTGGCATTTGTCTTCTTTCAAAGATATTCATTGTTTTATACGATTTAAAAAAAGATACTTGAAATACACGGCGGATCTTCATAGACTTTGGTAGATGTTATCAATAAGCAATAAGATTGATTTGTTAACAAATAGGAAAAAGTCCTAGTCTACAATAGTCCAACTTATCATAATGAGAGTAGTCTTGATATTGCGACGAAGTAATCATATCTTCTCACTTACATTGAATTGTGGTTATTCCTTGCAATAAACATCTGCCTTGGTCTTTTGTCATTCTTGAGCTTCTTTTAATTATGTATTCATTGTTGCATGTAGCTCTAACAAATAATTTGCTGAATCTTTCGTCTCAAAATTATCAACTTTTGAAAAGTCAAAAGTATCAAGTTATGGATGATAATCATAATTGTCAAAGAAAGGTGCTTGTTGAATAGAAGAATGTACCAAATTATTATATGCAAACTTTGCAAATAGAAAAAGAGTTGTTCAATCATCTTGATGACAGTTGATGGTACACCTCAAATAGTGCTCTAAAACTTGATTCATTTATTCTGTTTGCCTATCAATTTGAGGGTAAAAAACTAAAGAGAGTTTTATATCTACCTTTACAATCTTGAATAGGATTCTCCAAAACCTTGATACAAATTGAATCTCCTTATTCAATATAATATCCTTTGGTACTCCATGATAGCAATAGATATTATCAATAAAAAGTTGTAACAGACATACGCATGTAAGCCAGTAATTACCTATATAAATAGGTAGAAGTAAGTAGAAGTAGGTAAAAGAAAATTAATTCTATAATATCTTCTATGAAAGCTTCCTACAAGCTTTATAGATGCTGTTTTGACTTTATAGATATCTTTAATTGACTTTTTGGATTAGAAACGTGGTCAACAAGTTGGCCATATGCCATACATGTTGTTAGCTTGAAGACCAAGCTAATTATGTGGCTCACACATAGAAAAACTTGCCTTGTAAGTCAAAACATGTTTCTTAGAAAGTCAACATATATTGGAGGTCCCATAGAACATCATCACATAGTCACTAATTAGATAGTATATATAGAGACAAGAATGAAGCCCTCTTCATTCTTGTCAACTCTTTTCTTGTTTCTAGTCTAGTTTCAAGAATCTCAAGTTTTCTTGTCTTTTGGCAATAAGCTTTTTCAATTTCTTTTAATATATGTATTTTGTTATTTTTGTTTTGTCACTCTTTCTTTGATACGGATTTCATTGATTTGCACATCATGTTTTAGTTCATTTCCTTGACTAAAGCTTGGCTATTTTTTTACTTGAAATAGATTTTTTACATGGTACAAAAGATGCCATTTTGGTGAACTAATCTATGATTACAAATATATAATCATATGAACTTGAACTTAGAAGATCTGTAATAAAATCAATAGAAATAGAAGACCATAGTTTTTCATATATAAGCAATGGTTGGAGAAGTCCATGGAATCAATAGTGAGGAGTTTTTGATCTTGAATAAACGTCACATGACTGGACAAAGACTTTTACCACTTTTTACATTTGTGGCCACCAAAAATCTCTAGATATAGCTCTAAAGTCTTATTATGTACAAAATATCTTGTTGCTAGAAAGTCTTAACATGCTTGAAAAATATGTAAATGAGCATCTCCTTCTAAAACATACATGCATCCTTCAAAGTACAGTAGATTGTTCTTGAATTTGAACTTTGAAATATTATGAGACTTAGGAGAAAGATTCTTGATATCATAAATAAGAGAATCAGATGACATACTTGTTTGAATTTTTTTGACCAAGGTCAAATCAACAATCAATGTTGATTTCATTGCTTGAAGATGAAAATACTTTGATTTCAATAGGATTGTTCTTTATTGATCAAAAGACACGTTTTCTTCTTTTGGTGCAAGATAAGAGTGTCTAGAAAGAGCATTTGATTAATCTTATTGTTTTTTAAGTCAATATGTAATCTTAAAATCAAATCTTGATAATGACATGCTCCAATAGGCTTGGCGATGATTTAAAATATGTGCTAAGATGAAATACTTGAGGTGCTCATGATATGTATATACTATGATTGAACTTGAAGAGCCTTCTAAATAATGACACCATTCTTGAAATGAATCCACAATTGCAAGAAGTTCTTTGTCATGGATCTCATAATTAATCTCAAGTGCTAAATTTTTTTTGGAATGAAAAGCTATTAGACGGAGTTTGTAATCTGTTCTCATTTGTGACAATATTGAAGCTAATGTAAAGTCTGATGCATCTGTTTCTATAA